GATTCGAGGGTGCCTAACACCTTCCCTCGGGTCAACAGAATTCCTTACTTAGAATTTCTGGTTCGCAGACTTCATGTGGAAAAGTCGAAAATTTCCTCGATTTGGGATTCAAGAAAAACCGGTGACTTGGGACACCGAAAGCCAAACCTTTCCCAAGTGGCGACTCTGAATTAATAAATAATCTCATTTCGAATATTGTCACTTAAATTGGAAAAACTCCCTCGCGCATTTAACCCTTCGAGGCGGGCGTGCAAAAAGGAGGTGTGACATGACTCCCCAACTATATAAAGGGGGTCTGATCATTTGTAAGACATATTCACGTTACATAAAGCAATATATCATCTTCTTAAGCTCTCAATACTATGTTATTCTGTTCATACTTTCCAGTAAAATATTTGTTTGATTCGAATGTGACTTAGCTCAAGGATCAAAGCTATACATCTCATTTGGTTTGCTTTACTTTTATTTAATTTCAATATCAATTCAGGTTTTCTCTCAGTTTGTGCCAAGTAAAATTACACGTCCTTAAAATCACTGTATAAATTCAATTGTTATCCGTTTTTAGGGTAAACAACCATTAATATGAATGTTGACGTTTCTAACATCTACTGAATAAGGTTTAACAGAGTCTTATCCTATTTGATCAAGTTGACTTGTCAATGTCCAAAATTGCTACTCCCATGATCTTCCCCCCAAAAGATTGCACAAGGCATTATCCCCGCCATACTTCTATTTTATTTTTTATTTTCCGGCGTATTAATGTCAATGGCAAGGAAAGTACTGCCTGTAAATTTATAGAATATTCATGACTCAAAATATGTTCCTTAATTGGAAATTGTGAATTCGGAATTTAGATGCAAATGTTTTTGAGTTAAAAGATAGGTCGGTTTTGAAATGTACATAGATGCTACCTATTGTAACCTTTTATAGGTGGAAGGTGTGAAAAATTTATTACAATGCCACCTTTTATTATCTGATACTCATTGTAATAAATTTTTCACATCATGGTACGTCTGCTTTTGAGGTTCGAGGTGGTATAGCGCGAAAGATAAATTCGTACGGGCTTAAGCCTAAAACTGACAATATGTACTATGGGCTTGGGTCATCTTTTGACAAACATGGTATCAAAGCTGAATCTCCCTCAGTATAATGATGGGGCAAATCTCAGGATGCTGAGTCCCAAGAGGGGTGAATGTAATGCCCATGATGGATAGCGGGTCAAGTAAGATTTGCAGACTTCTAGGCTGGTATGCCATTGAAGAAGGGGTGCACATGTCACCTTAAGCGAATCCCACATCGAAAAGAGAGAGAAAAGCGAAAAGCTTTAAAATGCATGACACAAGTTTATATGATATGTGCATTTTTGGGATTCGAGGAAATTTGAGGTGGCATAACCCAAAAAATAAATTCGTACGAACCTAGGCTTAGCGAACAATATAATGTATGGGCTTGGATCTTCATAATAAGCGACTTGGTGTGTAATTTTTCTTACAACATTATCACTTAAACTTTACTTTTGATACATATCACTTGGACTCTTTGCCTAAATGGTTTCTTTCCTTTTTCCTCTCCACCTCTTCCTTAAAGAATAATTAATTGGGGAAATTAAAAAAATAATAGCTTCTGTCCACCATATTTTATTGAAAAGAAAAGCGGACCAATTATCAAAGGATAGATACTAGTATTTATATTCCATATACTTTGTTTAAGATAGGCTGATTTGACCAAACTCTTAAGTTTAATAGTGGTCCAAATACTGATTCAGCTGAAAATTAATAGAGCTTAGCCGACCATAGCATTAGTTTAATCTTTATCAGCAGAAGTGTATCATCGGGCGGAGCTATCATTTGATTTATGTGTTCGGGAGAATTCAATAATTTTGACTCAAATTTTTATATTTATATTAAAAAATTATTTAATTTATATAATAAATAAATTATTTTTATAAATGAAAACTCATAAATTTAAAATTTAAGATTCGGCATTCATTGTCTTGCTCTAATTAATAATTGGTTGAATCTTTCTCGTGCCAACCGCATTGCATCATTCCATACATTAAAACTCAAAAAAGAGAAATGGGAATGGCTGACCAAAGCATTGGACAAATGGAAAGATCCTGAAAGATATCTCTGCTGTATTGTTTTTCTTTTTTCTCTGCTGTATTTAGATTTAGTATTGGTAACTAAAAGCAATCATATACATTACCAACTGAACCTCCAACCACAAACATCAAACATAGATACCAACACCACTTTATAATTAACTTGCACAAAGATATTGTTAAAAAAAACTCATATTTGGTGGAAAATCAGAACATTTTTTGGATTACTCACGCGGTTTTCGGTATTTATATTAGGGTTCGACAAAATTCGAATTCACGTTGGGAAGTCCCACACTGGGAGTAAAGCGCTTCCTAGCAAACAAGACTCCGTACCTAAGGACTCGAATTCAAGACCTCCGGTTAAAGATGAAGGAGTACTTACCACTCCACCACCACCTCTATTCGTGGAAAATCAGAACATTATTAGACTCCAGCGAACGGTTATGGTTTATTCTGCGTTGAAGAAACAAGACAAAAGAAACCTGACCACTGAAATGGTATTATAGATACTATCATGTTTCCATTGTGTTTACATTTTACCATCAAATGTTAGGACAGTAATAAGTATGCTTCCATTTTTAATCCAAAATCTCGGGTTCAAGTTTTGAGAATAAAACTCTTTTTGATAAGAACAAGTTTACCCCAAAATAGAACATTATGGACTTGGATTAATCGAATTAATATATCAAACGCTAAAGACGTTATTGAAAACAGGGGTGGAGCTAGAAGATCAGCTATGAGTTCGGCAGAACCTAGTAACTTTTGCTCAACAGTGTATTTGTGTTAGAATTTTTTTTTAAATATATATAAATATTAACTTTAGAACCCAATTATTAATACTTGAAATCGTTATTCTAAAATTCAGAAATATAAGCTGAAATCTTGGTTCCGCTTCTGATTGAACACAAGATGAAAAGAAAAAAAAAGATACATGTTAAGCTAAGTCATTCCTCTTAATTAGCTCATATCTCTTTAGATTCTAATCTATTCTTAAACTTGAGGGGCTGTTGCAATTTCATAACCCTCGTACTTATCTACATGTTCCTAATTTAATAAAGGAAACAACTTGTACAGCTAGTTTATTTAGTTTAATTAATTGACATTATTGATTTAGAATCCTGTACTTTCATAGGAAAAGCAGCAATAAGGAATCCAGATGTGCTTCAGAATCATGTACTTTCATCTGACAAAGCAAATAAGAATTCCAGGTCTTCATGTGAAAACAACTGAAACCCATCCACACTTTTAATGTACAGGAAAAAAATGAATATATTAATCATCAACTCTGTTTTTATGTAGATACGCCGTGATTGTACTGAGTTGTGAAATCCAATCAGAAACATCCGTTGGCTCCACCAATGAACAGAGGAAGTGGCAAACATTGCATTTAGGAGTACAATTTAGTACATAAACTCATTTAATAACAATCCCAGTCCTTCAATCCAAACTAATTAAAATCAGTAAGCTACTTCCAATTGCAAACAAAATCGATCTATTTCTATTTAAATCATGATCATGAACTAGTGCATAAAATATACTCGCAAAAAATAAGTAAATATAAAAAGTTGTGTTGTTGCAATTTATCTAACTATATATCTTTATATTCCTTTCATTAAAAATTCGATTTGAACCAAAGATGAAAGATTTTGAAAGTTACGACATCAGTTTACCTCTACAGGAATAGAATAATGGTTACGACATCAGTTTATCAAGTTAGATATCGACTAGATGAATTCTCGTATTCAAGTCGTTTTATTTAAGCTCATCCCAAACAGATGTAACATGCTCAGATCACCGCTAAGCCAGAGAGAGCAAGCTCACACAAACGCAGCTATAACTCCAAAATTTATTACTACTAGGGGTGGTAAACGGGCGAGTTGGATCGGATGTGGGTCCGATCGAAATGAGTAATGTAAAAAGAAATAAATCATTCGACACGATCCATATCTAATACGGATAAAGAACGAATTAACCGGCGGATAATATAAATATCAATATTATCCATGACTTTTTGAATATGATCACTTTGGGAGAATTTTTAGTTTCCCAAATATGAGAAATCCCCAATTTGAGGTTTTACAAATATAAAAAATTAAATTTATTAGTTATCCATTTAGTAATATAATTTTTATTCATATTTGACATGTTTTTAAAAAAATTCGTTCTTCGATCTATATTTTAGTGATTCTTATTCATATTTAATCATTTTACCACCACTAATTACTACTAATAAAAATGAAAGAGGAAAAAGATGAGCACTGCCCAGCTTTGGCATCATACGCTACCGAATTAAACAAGGAAGAAACCTTTCCTTCTCAGCGTCAATCCATCATTATAATGGCCACCCTTGACAGTGACTTTGGACCACTACTTACTTTCTCCTTTTAAGTTATTGATATTTCTTCGTTAATACAATATGGCTCGCGTGGGGCGCTCCATCCGATCCTGTAGCGGTGGTGGTGCCCAGATCAACGTCACTTATTTTACCGGTTTATACTGAACCTCATCTCTCTTTCTTCTCTTATCTTCTTATCTACTTCTATTTTTCGACAACTCGTTTAGCAACTGATTTTTTTGTAGGCCCATATCGGTTGGTTTTTGCTTTATCTATATGATCACGCGATTCAATCCCATCTTGGAAATGATACCAGATAGCCACTCTAAAATATTACTATTTTAAAATAAAATAATAATATTGATTAATTTCTAAATATCGGTCCGAAAAATAACTATGCCCCTTCAACATCTCCCTAATTTCCACATTACAACAATATAACATATTCGATTGAATCCCACTAATAAGGTAAATAATGTCTGAAAACCTTAAAGATAAAAATATTATTTCCAATAGTCAAAAAAGTTATTTCTAGTAAACATTAGCTCAAGAAAAGCTAAAAGCTAATTTCCACACTATCGTTCATTTATTGGTCTTGGTCTATCCCAAACTCCCTTAAACCACATATGACCATCACCCAATGGAACAGTAACAAAATCGGAAACTGAAGTTAAAATTAAAGAACACGATTTCAAAGAAGAAAGGAACAAGTAACAATCAATACTGTCGTAATTTAGGATTTTCTAATTAACAACTACCAAACTGAATATTAACATATAATCCCTTTGGATTATATTCATAACAGCATGGATATATCTTCAATATCTATCACCATAATAATTAATACTTCCTTTTTTCCCTCTATAATCGCCGCTTGTGGCTTGAAGAAGCAGTATTGGTCCGGTCCAATTGAGAACTTATGTGAACCTTTTTGCCAGTAATCTTGAGATCGAACTAATTAAAAGCTGCAGATTTCAGTTATCTTCCTCGCAACTTTCAGGGCTAGGATATTCATTCAAATCCGGCTTAATAGTAACCCTTCTCGGGTTAATATTTGAATTACTGTTGGATTCAGTAGAACCTGCAGACGAATTATTATGAAGGGCGGCAGTTTGCAAAGCATCAACTCTAGCACCAACTTCAGTAGCTTTTTTGCGAATAGAAGCAGCAGATAGATCGTGAAGTTCACGGTCATCATTAACTATACATTCAGGGAAATTAAGCCTAGCCGTAGGACCTCTGAGATAAAATACGGCGGTGTCATAAGCTCGAGCGGCGGCAACAGGGGAAGAGTAAGAACCAAGCCAAATTCGAGACCTTTTATTTGGTTCTCTAATTTCAGCAACCCATTTACCCCACTTCCTCATCCTTATACCTCTATATGGCTTATCTTGTTGGTGTTGCCTTTGCTTTCTCTTTTCTCCTTCCATCATCGAAACCATCAAAATTACAATTCCTCCTTTTGGTTTTCTCTTTCCCAATAAAGGAACCTCTATAAGTATTGATGAAAATCTACCCTACACAAAAGGAAAGAGAATCTAACACAAAAATCAAGTTACTAACAAAGAACGTTTGATATGAGAACAGCTGTCGTATTTATATGGAGGTGGGAATATAGAGATACAATTTCTTTTATATATATATATATAGAAAGAAAAAGGAAAAGAAAATACCTGAAGGCAGGGCCGGAGGTAGTTGAACCTATTGATTATTGGGTTCAATTGAAGTTGGAACTTTGAATATATAATTTAAATTTATATATAAAAATTTATTAAAATTATTATAAATATTAGATTTGTACTTAATAATAATATAATAAATATAATACTATAAAATTTAAAAATTAAATTTATTAAATTTAAATTTTGAATCCGCTTCGGCCTAGAAGTCAGGGGAGATAGTGTGGTGTGGTGTTGTGTATGATATGGGGAGTTGTGTGTGTGGATGATTGAGGAAGAGAGCATATGGAGCACGCATAAGGGGAGGGGAGGGGGGTTAATGTTTTTTTTTTCTTGAATTGGCTGCTAGTGTGTCGTCTGGGAACGGCCGCCACGTTGATCTTCCTTAAAGATAAGTACAAATTCGGCCGACATATTCCATCGACACACACATTTCCCCTTCTTTTGTAATTTTGTTCCGCTTTCTTCTCAGCACTCGAACTAGGAACTACCAATTTTATTCTTGGATTCAATTAATATACTCTGTATGTTTTTCTTTACATTTACATTGTAGGAAGTAAAAAGACTTTAAATTATATATAGTGAAGAATTTTTTATCCTATTAGATTATTCAAAAAATAGTTATAAATAAATCAATTTTAATTCTATTAAATTATTCAACAAAATATTTATAAGTAAAGTTTTAAAAATCCTGACAATATATATAACTTAAACTCATTTAAGAATACAATTGTTTGACTTAAAAGATATTGGAACCTTTTTGAATAAATCAATTAAAGAAAATTAAGGGATAAATCTTAGCTAAGTATAATAAACTTTAGAACCAAAGTTATAAAAGATGAATATAATGGATGATATTTCTTGATCTTGTGAGGATGAGTACTCGAAAGTAAAGAATGCCAATCGTTTATGTAGAAAAATATTACAGTCAGTGTTCTTAGCTAGAAAAATAGAAAAAGTCCCCTTACAAGGTTGTTTTTCCGCTATATATAAGGGACAAACCCCTTCTAAGCCCTAAAAGACATATTATAGGGAATATTCGAAAGAATATTCTTAATGTCCCCTATTGGGCCTACACTACTGTAAAAGTCGTGCAGTCTCTGTTCGCTTGTTTGTTGTCCTCCACAGGACGTCGAGCTACGAGGATCTCGTCGTTTGTCGTATTCATCAATTGTCGTTTGTCGTCTTTGGCACTGTTCACACTTCCTGACATAATCCGCGGCTTCTTTTTTCATGGTAAGCCAGTAGTATCCTGCGCGGATGAGGCATATGAAGAGGACACAGTTTCCCGTATAAGCGCTACAGTGCCCATCGTGTACTTTTTCTCTTACTCGCCTTGTTTGATTTGGCCCAAGACATTTGGCCAGGGGGCCACCGAACGTCCTTTTGTAAAGATCATAGTTTACAAGGCTGTATCTGGCCACCTGTATTCAAAGTTTTTGGCTTCTTTCTTATCTTGCGGGAGCGTCCCTTCTTGCAAATATGTTACGATACGGTTGCGCCAGTCCCAAGTTAGGTTTATAGAATGTACCTCGACCTGGTCTATTGAGGAATGGAGAAGGGTGACCACGTTCTCCTTGTTGATATTTCTGGTGGCTGCTGCTAGCTTGGCGAGACCGTACGCTTCGATATTCTGCACCATAGGTATTTGGTCGAGGCGGCATTCGTCGAATTCTAGTAGCAGTTTTTGAATTTCTGACTGGTAATTTTGTAGTCTCTGTTCTTTGATTTGGAAAGTCCTAGTGACGTGGTTCACCACGAGTTGAGAGTTGTAATGGAGGATGAGTCGTCGAACGCCATATTTGAGGGCTAATTTTAATCATATAATCACTGCTTCATACTCAGCCTCGTTGTTAGTCATCGCGAGGCATCGTATGGACTAGCGAATTACTTCGCCCGTAGGGACTTCGAGGATGAGTCCCAATCCCGATCCTGATGCATTAGATGGGTCGTCGGTGTAGAGGACCCAAAGGTCGAAATGTGCGGAAGCGCGGAGCGCTTCCTGCTCTACTTCAGGCAATACTTCTGCGCTGAAATTGGCGACGAAATCGGCGAGCACTTGCGACTTTATAGCGGTTTGCGGTTGATATATTACGTCATGCTCGCTTAATTCTATGGCCCTTTTGTCCAACTTACCGGATAGTTCAGGTTTGTGTAGGATGCCCCTGAAGGGGGAAGGTTGTCACCACCTTTATGGGGTGACATTGAAAATATGGTTGAGCTTTCGTGAAGCTACGACTAATTCTATAGCTAGTTTCTCAAGGTGGGGGTACCTTATTTCAGCATCAACTAAGGTTTTGCTGATATAATAAATTGGAGATTGCGTACCTTATTTTTGCAGACCAAAACTGCACTTACCGTGACTTCGGAGATTGTTAGGTACACCAGGAGGCATTCGCCCGGGTCTGCCTTGATGAGTAGTGGCGGCGAGGACAGGTACGCTTTCAGTTTTCTTAAGGCGTCAACGCATTCTGAATTCCATTATAGCTCGTGATACTTCCTTAGTACATTAAAAAACTTATGGCATTTGTTCGATGATCGTGAGATGAAACTCGACAGGGCGGCTATTCGCCCTGCCAATTTCAGTACCCGTTTTTTGCTGGTTAACGTCTCCGGTATTCCTTCGATGGCCTTGATCTGATCTGGGTTGACCTCGATACCCCTTTACGATATCAAAAAACCAAGGAACTTTCCCGAGGTTACGCCAAAGGCGCATTTATCGGGATTCAATTTCATTCCGTATCGCCTCAATATTTTGAAGGCTTCTTTCAGATGACCAATGTGATACTCCTTCCTTTAGACTTCACCAGCATGTCATTGTAGACCTCCGTAGTCTTTCTGAGTTGTTCTTTGAACATTTTGGTGACTAACCTTTGATACGTCGCCCCTGCATTCTTGAGTCCGAACAGCATGACTCTGTAGCAGTATGTTCCTTGGTGAGTGATGAAGGTGGTATTTTCTTGGTCTTCTTCTGCCATTAGAATTTGGTTGTAACCAGAATAGGCATTTAAGAAGCTTAATAGTTCGTGTCCCGTCGTTGCGTCGATTAGTTGGTTGATATGTGGTAACGAAAAGGAATCCTTTGGGCGTGCTTTGTTCAGGTCGGTGAAGTCGACACACATCCGCCACTTCCCATACTTCTTTTTTACCATGACCACATTGGCGACCCACTGAGGATACTTTGATTCTCAAACGGAGCCATTAGCGAGCAACTTATCAACTTCTTCGCTGACTGCATCGTTGATTGCAGCATTGAACGTTCTCCTCATTTGCCGCACTGGCGGGTAAAGAGGGTCGTCATTCAGCCTATGTGTGGCGATGTCCCATGGGATTCCCGTCATATCTAAGTGGGAAAAGGCAAACAAATCGGCATTGTTAGTTAAGAACTCATGAAACTTACCTGGTTCTGAGAGGTTGTGTCCGATATAAGCTTTTTTTGTGTTGTCGGTGTTATCTAATTGAATGGGGTTGAGGTCTTCTACAGTTGCCTTGCAAGCTTCTACGACATCTCGGTCTTTGATGGCCTCTATTTGTATGTCGGGTTTGGTTCCCGATATGGCTGATTGTTATGCTTCCGCACTTGCCCCCTTTAGTTGTTAGGTGTGCGTGAAGTCTTGGGCGATTCGGTAGCATTCTTGGGTGATGCGTTGCTCGCCCCAGATGCTGAATATCCCCCATGGGGTAGGAAATTTGATTACTTGATAGAAACTTGACGGGACGGCTGGCGTGTATCCATGGACGCCCTATGATAGCGTTGTAGGCCGTTTCCTGGTTGATGACGTGGAATGTCATTTCCAAGGTGACTCCTCCTGCCTGAATGGGCAGCACTATTTCTCCAAAGGTTCATTCTACTGCATTATTAAAACCCGTTAGTGTTATGCAACGCGGTACTATCTTATCCTCGAGTCTCATCTGTATGAGGACTCGTGGGTGAATAATACACACACCGCTTCTGTCATCTACCATTATTCCTTTTACATAGGTATCCACGATACGTAGAGTTATAACCAAAGCATCATAGTGAGGGAAAGACAAACCATTGGTATCCGACTTATCAAAGGTGATACTATCTTCGAGGTCGTCATACCGTTCGTGAGCGACTGTCCGCTTGAGTTTGTATGTGGTAGTGAATTTCACATGGTTGATTACCGTATCACCGCCTCCGCCAATGATCATTTATATGGTAAAAGTTGGTGAGGGTGGTTTTGGGGGTCCTTGAGTTTGATCGCGTCCACGAGCGAAGTTAACTCGTCCTCGATCGCTCAGCAGTTCTTTTAGGTGTCCCTGGTTTAGCATTCTTACCACTTCCTGTCGCAGGCGTATACAGTCTTCGGTCTTGTGACCCTTTCCCCGGTGGAATTCACACAGGACGTTCGATCTCCGGGTGCTCGAATATGACTTCATCTTTTGTGGCCACTGCATCATTGTACGGTTGCTCGACTAATCACGCTCAACTGTGTCTATTAAAAGACTAAGTGGGCATTGCAAATATAATCCGGGGTATTATGCCCCATGTCGAATCCCACAATGAATTAACGTATCAAGAGAATCTTTTAAAGTACTAAATTCTTATTAGTCAACCTTCTCAAACTTTGTGAATAACAAGTGGTGTTATGGTCACTACTACAGCTAATAGAATTAATAAACGAAGATTAACTAACACATAGTTGTAGACAATTGGAATAAGGTCTAAGGTAATGGTTTCCCCCATTGTTGAATTCCTTAGTTGTATGTTTCTTATAGCTTCAATTTAGTTGCCTCTATCGATCATGAACTCTCCAGCTACTATAAGTCTCTCTCAAGCAATTATGATAATTTACTAGACGCACTCTCTCAAGCTACACTAATTAGATTTGCATTACAGCTCACTTAGATCGCAGCCGAGGTATCGTTATCTCTACTCCAACCTCTAAACCGCTGGTTATGACTCTCAACTATACTCTGGGAGTGATGTTGTTCAAAAAATTACCTAAATATACACTCTCTCTCAAGCAGATACATAATAAATAGGAATGGCTAATTGAATATCCTTTCAACTAACC